CCTCAGAACTCTGATTGCACAGCAATGATCCTATTTCAAAAAGTAAAAACAGAAACAACAAAATTAAACCTCTTTAGGAAGATGTGCTTATCTTGGAATGATGAAACCTTAAAAGACAATGGGATGCTTTGCAGGTTTTTCATTTCCAAAAATATCAGAGTGGGCTGGCATAATGTTTTTTTTGCTTTTTTTTAATATTAAGTCCGCAGGAAAGCAGTTACTTAACTGACAGTAATTTTAGTTCTTCAGGATTCTGTAGTGCACATGGAATGTCATTGTGAATTAGCAGATGTTTTGAGTACTTTTCCTTGTTCTCCTGTTTGAGGGTATAAATTGCAACCACCATCTCTTCAATGTCCTTACAACTAGAAGCCATCCATGCAAACTGTGGTAGTCCTTACCATCTACAGCTGCCATAAATGTTAGTGTTACCTAACTGTTCCTTCTGCTTACAACCCATAATAGTGTTACTGTACAGTAAATCAATTTCATCAAGAAGAACTGGAATGACTTCTCCCCACATTCAGACATCTGATCTAACAGTGAAGTGTGAGGAGCAGTAACTGACGGGGATCTGCAAAGTGCTGCCTTGAAGGCCTGCTCTTCATACTAGCAGATGGGAGGATATTGCTTGTGTCTTAGGAGGAGGAGCAGGAGAGTTCCAAGGCAGCTGGTAACACAGCAGGATGCATCATGCTATTCAGTCCAGTATAGGTTCTAAAGGGAAGTCTTGACCTTTGCAGTACCTGTCTGTAGCTAGAAATAGACAGGAGATAAACTCAATCATTTGGTGTTTTGTCAGTACAATAAAGCAAAGTCTGAGATGCTTGTTACATACAGTTTTTGCTCTGTGGATGTTACTGCAAACTAGGAGGGGTGGGAGGGAACACACAAATCAGCCAAGAAAGGTACTTAGGTTCCTGATAGGAAAGGTCTGAGACAGCTTCAGCAAAGAACTGTGGTCCAACTGTAAGTTTGGTAAGGTAATGCTGGTAACAGATTTTCAGAGTCCTTTGTGGCCAATTCACACAGGTGCCCTGGAGAGCTGTATATGTAATGTCCTGAGGTCCTGCACATCTCCCTCTGCATAGACTCAAAGTTTTGCTATAATCTTTTCTTACTGCTAAGCAGAAATAATGGAGGAAGTGACAAAAAGCTGGAGTGATTTCCTTCTGATAAAGAAATATTCTACCTGTTACCACGAAGCACAGAACACATGCAGGCAGTTGGTACTCTTTGTTTCTGCTTGATTAGGTTACCCACCACTGGAACATTAAAAATCCATGGGTCACATATAAGAGTGGGAATTCAATAGTCTATCACTGCTTATGTAATGCAGTTTGAACAACGTAATGCCACTAACACACATCCTGTTTTTATTCCCTTTTCTCCATTTCTTTCCTCCTTTTCCCCCTCCCTTTTAGAAAGGGAGTTTCTAAAATCCTCTCATTGCTTGTCACTCTGCATTTCTGGACAAAAGACCACTCCAAAAGCTGCAGTGGCAGATTTAAGTCCTGGTTTGAGGCTGACCATCATTATTCATTTGGGAGAGGCTTCTAGGGAGCTTTCTAGGTAATTCAAAGTTTGAAATGAGGAACCAATTAGAAGAAAATTTCCTGTGTAGATTGGAAAGTCACTGCAGAATTTAGATATAGCTTAGCTTTAAAAAGCTTTAAAAAAAAAAAAAAACAACCTAAAAGTGTATTCCTACTTAATGATACCACTTTTATTGGCATGTCCTTGTAAGGGTCAGTTACTGACAACAGCAGTGAAACAAGAACAAAAAAAGTAAAACACTGATTAGTTTCCTTCTACATGACTTGTGAACAGTTTCTGTAGAACCTCCAGAAAAAGTGGGGAAAAAAACCCTATTAAAGTGTATTTCCTTCTAGCTATCTTTAATGACCACTAAAGCTATATACTACACATACTAACTTAAGTTCCAATCAATAAATGAATGATTTCCAGAATGTATGCTTTATCACCCTGCAGAAGTGAATTATGTCAATATATTGCTTTCTAAAAGAAGAGCTACCATTGTATATGATTATTTACTGGAACAGCTGGCTAATTTTTCGGAGTTGGTGTTAGGCTGAATGATTTTGAAGAGTGAAGAGGTAGCTCAGACAGCACCCCTGTTTTCACTGACAAGCCAAATGCACCAGGCAGTGAGTGAGGCTACAGCCTCCTTAAATTCCAAAATAAGACAAGAAGAAATGCTGTAGTTAGTATAGAAGCAAGCAATTCAGAAGCAGCAATCAGTAGGTTTGTTTTGTATTATGTAGGCAGCTAAACCAAGTGATTACTGGCCTCCGTGTGTGAAATACTCGTATGTAATTGAAGGATGGCTTAGTACAGGAGCTTTTTAGATGTAGATGGATGTTAATTTTAATATCTCCATTACAGGCCTGAACAAATGCTTCATGGTTCTTACAGTGACATATCCATCAAAGATTAGTTTTGGACACGTGCATTTAAAAAAAAAAAAAAAAACACAAATCTTAAAGGTCACACAGGAAAAGCTGGGGACGCTTGCCCTGCCTGCATTGGCTTTTACAAAAGCACATGAATAAAGCAGGAAGTTTAAAATCAGGCCTTGGCACTCATGACCACAATTGTCACTTATTTCAGGCTGCTTTTTCCTTATATCACTTCCAAATTGAAGTATTTTCTCCTTGGAGGGAGTTCCTCAGTGCTTCACAATACTGCCCCTATGTTCCTTTGGAGTCTGTGTAGCTTTGCCAGCTGGCCTATGTTAGGGCATAATCCCATCAACATCATCCTAGCAAAAGGCATGAGCAGCATTAATCTCCAGCAGTCTTTTTCCTTTTATAGTAAAATGGGTTACAATACAAACTAAGAAGAGATTTCTCATCACGGAATCACAAATAAGTGGGTAGACTTTAATTTGGTCATCTGTGGCCAGTAATGAACCATTGTGGCTTTAGAACTTTCTCTGGTGTGAAAGTTGTTCTACAGTTTCTTATGATAAGGAAGAAGAAAATTATCTGCTTCACTGAAGTTCATTTGTTGTTTGGTAGAGATGGACTTCCTTGTAGGTAGGATTATCAGTAGCACCATGTGAAGTGACTTCAGACTTGGTGTAACTCAGTAAGGGTCATGGAAGTACTGTCTTCCCCCCAGGGCGAGAAACATTTGTGCTCTCCTATTAACATATGCTCCACAAATTTACATCGTGGTAACTGACTTCCATGACTGCAAATTAGCTTTAATCACCTTTATATTTTGTGTGCAACAAAGACCACTTTTGTGATATAATAAACAGAACAAGATTATGATCAAGAGAATCAATACTACCAGACACGAGAATACCAAAGGTTATGAGCACGTATCTGAAGTCCAAGAAATGGTACAGTTTGAACTGTAATTGCCTTTGTCACCCTGAAAATGCTTATACAACATATTCAAAGCAAAGCTCAGCCAAACAAGAGACACAAACATATATTTTTACCCATCACAAATGACTTAATATCCCACAGTCAAATTCTGTGTAGAGAAAGCATGTAACACAGATTGATTACTATGCAAATCCCCAAGCTTGAAGAAAAGTACCCATTCTTCACCCTTGGATGTTCCCTGAAGTTTATTTCAGGTCCTAATTTACATTGAATTAATATTTTAAAGCGCTTTCAGGTTTGTGTGCACACATGATATCAATTGCAACATCAGTCCTTTGCTTTTAGGAACAGGTGTGAGATGGAAAAGATCCCTGGCATGTACAGAGATGCAGGCAGCCGATGATGCTCCTGCCTTCCTGCACTGGGCAGCTCTGCACCCTCCCACAAGTAAGGCTCAGCACTAGAAAGGCCTGAACCACAGGTACTCCAGTGAGAATGGCTGATGGTTCCCATTACCCTGCTGAGCACTGCAAGAAGGGGAGCTGAGAAGACAGTGTCAGGAGTCTTGTACCTCATCTCTGCCTCTCTCTGCTACCTGTGAGATACACATCAGTGACTGCTAGCTGCTGGGAGATGAGTACTGTGAAGCCAAGAGCCTGGGAAAAATCCTGTGTGCAGCTGAAAGTAATGTGATTGGAAAGGGATTTAATGTTTATAAAATACGTCCAAGAATAAACAGAGACAGGGATGTATTGAAGCATGGTTTGATTTTATGAAATGCTCGAAAACAAATTCGTGCAGAATTCAGAGAATTAGTTGAAGGGAAGGCCCAACAAAGTCATTCTGTTATTAATGAAGAAAAAAAATAGAGACAGCACAAAAATCAGGTATCAAATGCAGGTCAAAAACAAAATGAGAGCTCTACAAACTACTCAGATCTCAGGCAGTTTGGATCCTGAAATGTTAGAGACGCATAAAAAGAGCAAGCTAAGGCCTAGTGAGACCACAGCTTATTTAAGCAGTATGTAGCATTAGCACTCATACTAGGAGTGTTTTAGAGAAGCACTGTCAGCAATGAGCCATACATTCAGACTGACTATTGTTAGCTTGAATTTCACTTTGCCTATCAGGTAAATTCAGCTGGTGATGCTCATTTATATATATAAGCCAGGTTAGGCTTTCATCACTTTTCCCTGCAGTGTTTATTTTCAAAACAAAACTCAGTGGAACTTGCAAGTTAGTTTCATGTTTTAATCATATTGCTTTCATAACACACTCTTCTTAAATCTGTAGAGATAGGATTGTCTGAAAGTGCTGTTATTTAAGTACAATACTGCTTTTCCATCTTCTGTGCCTCATTTCTGTATGTAGAGCACACCTTCGCAGGGTGGAAAGGTGTTAGCTCTACAGAGAGAAAACAGGAATGTCTTCAGAGCAATTTGTCTTTCCTTGAAAACAGCCATGGAGATATATTTATAAACTTTTCTATCCTTCACTGTAATGTGCTGTTGAGTCCTTGTGTACTTCACATCTTAGCAATGTATTAAGAAACAACAAAGAATACCTCCCCCTCAACCCAACTATACTTATCCCACTGAAAAAATTAATTAAGGAAAGCCAGGATTTCTACATTGCACTTACCTGGAACGAAGCTTCCCTGGACCACCTCCTTATATGCCCACCAGCCCTCATGGATTTTTGGTGAATTTTGTTGAGCTAGAAATAAGCAAACCATAAAATTAAGGTAGTGCATGGGAAACATAATTACAAGGACTTTGGAAACTCTAAGCAGGTTATCATTTTCAATATGAGTCATTCTGCAAGTTCCCAAACAATGTCTGTTCAATTAAGTGCCTGTATCTTGGAGCCCCTTCTCTCTGTTTCTTAGGCAGTAAAATGTGACTTCTGAAGAAGTGACCACTGAACTTGAATTCAGATAAAAAATGAGGTTTTGTAACACTTTTGATCATTCATGCGTCAACTTTTTTTTATAGGACAAAACTGCAGATAATGAGTGAACTTCATGCGCAGTAGTCAGCATCTGAGCCTGAGTTTGTGGACTGAATCCTTTTTTTCCCCCCTCCTTTGCCAAGTTCTCCAATAATATCTCATTCTGAACAGGAAGAAATGACAGTGAGCCATAAGCCATAGCTGTGTCTGTATGTTTCTCCTTTCAAAAACATGCTCTGAGTTCCAGAAAGAGAACAGGCCTATGTAACTCCTTGCTGCACAAGTGGTGGTCTGTACCATAATGCTCAGGCAGGGAGATGAGGTGCAGTGTTGCAGAAAGCCTTTAAGTTATCCCCCACCACAGCCATCCTGGTGTTACCTGTGGCTGATGTGTGACTCTACAGCACAGTGCAGTGAACCAAAGAGAGGTTTTGTGACCAATATTATGACAGCCATATGGATAAAAATCTAAGCTGTGGATATTGAGACTGTTACTTAAATAACTTCTCTAAACTTTCTGACAAGCCAAGAGTAGAAAGGACTTGATTTATAAAGACATTACTTCCCTTCATCCTGAAGGAAATAGGCACTGGAGCCTATTATAATGTTTAAAATTTAAAATGTTAACAGAGAAACATGCAAGATAATTGTTTCAAAGGGCATGCAGACATACAGTGAGAGATGTGCAGGTCAGAGCCAATAAGCAAATGTCTCAACTCTGCATGCTTGAATTTCCATGCTTAGAGCAATCTTTTCCTTGAGCTATAGAAAGCTCAGCTATCTTCTACATCACTAGCTTAATTCCTTTATTTTCTTTAATTGGATACTTTCAATCCTTTCACCAGGTCTAAGAGTTGTAACATAAATACACACTATGAATGATGAGAGGCTTTGCAGCCTTCTGCTGCAGTTTTGTTTCTCAGTTGCACACTGTATACAGAAGGCACAATTACCCTGGGAAAAGTTCCAGCAACATAACAAAAATTGTTGTCATTAAAACTTACAGAGGGAATGTGACATTCAGACTAAAAGATGAGGATGGCTACATACTGTTCTATCCCTAACAAAACAATATTTATGATTTAACTAACTGTAAATTGCAGCCAGAAGTAAAGCTGAAGTTAATTAAACATACTGAGAGAAGGACCGCTGCTATCTGCTGACCAGAAATCCAGGCATACTTGTGGAGTGGGTACATGTGAATATAGAAATCCCCCTGTGGTACTCATGCTTGTTCCATTAATTGGTTGGTGACACATTAAACTGAAAGGACTGTCACACTGTGTACTCTTTACAGTTTGCAGAGGACATTACCTTCATTTTAATGTTTATATCTCTGTCTAGAGAACTCCAACCATGTCTGGCTTTGGACTGCACAATACAAACACTTGGAAAATGGCAAACCCCAAGCCACAATCCAAAACATCTGAGCAGCAAAATATTCATACTCAGACTGAACTGTTATTAGGTTTTGTTGGTTTTTTTTTTTTGAATCTCAGCACTGGTTCATGGAGGTTACTTTTATGCTTATCTACAGCAGAAGTCCTCAAAGATTTCAGGAATTGTTTCAGCAATAGGAAAAGATACCAAGTGAGCCTCCAAAAGCACAACAATCACTTTTCACATAGTACTTCTCAGAAAATTAAATTGTATTAAAATCAACTTTTTAGTAACATGCACAGTTAAAGCTGCTACACACAACCAGAGGCAGCTGCACCTTAGAAAAGAATGAAGAAATTGCTGTGCAGATGCAGGCAGCTTGAGAAGGGAGGCTGAGTACTTCCAAATGGAACTACTTGCTGTCTGCATTAGTGGAGGCTTGTACAATAGAAAAATGTATCAGCTTTCCCACTCTGTGGCCAATCTAAATGATGTGTCATGTCCAGAAGGAAACAACAACAAAAATCCAGTACTCAGAATTGAAATTAAACCAAAATCAGAAGGCAGCAGCTCTGTGGTTCTGCTTTGTACTGTATACCAACGTGTAGGAAGGCTAATTCCAAAAGCAGTATCAGGAAAACTAAGATTTGTGACATTTTTTTCAAATCTGTTGCATTAATATGGAAACGAAGGCTGTATGAGGTAAGAAAACCAGATTACAAAGCTTTGTACTGAATAATTGGATGTCTGCGCAATCACTTTATCAGAGAAGAGCATGACCTACCATTGCTCCTCACTTTCCATAGATACCAGATCCTTGTCTCTTCAATATACACATAAAAATGAAACACAAAGATGGAATACAGTAAGATGCTGTTTTCCCACAGCCCAAGGTAAGGTGGGAGCACTAGTGGGTTACTGCTGCTTCCCAGAAAACTGAGGCCTCTGAGAAAGTCAAGGAGAAAGGCACACAGCTGTTCTGAGAGGAGCTGGGCAGGCAAAGCCCACCACCACACTCTTGTTTGAACCCTGAATCCTCTGTTTTACACCAGTCCAGGTAAAAGTTTACCAAAATAGCACAGAGTGACTGAACAAAGGTTTCTGCCATGTGTGTGAAATCTAGCTTACTGCTCTGATGGACCATACAGGGCTTTGCTTAGAAAGATGATTTATAAAGCTCTCATTTCTCTGGAAGCAGACAGAGAAGGGACTGGTAAGGGCAGGAAGAAGTCAACATCTTCTGGAAATTTCTCCTGACCTGTTACATCAATCTGCCTTAGAAAGTAGACAAGAAGTTGTATCAGGAGTTTAAAAAAAAAAAAAAAAGCTGTTCTCTATTTCTGAAATAGACCCACACTCGGATTAGTAATGGAACAAAGGAATACAAAATTAGAATTAACAGACATATGGACAGTCCTTGCTGGGAATCCTATCTGGGCTGCTTACACCTGATGCTCATATACCAATTGTACAGACCCTGTGTTGTACCGATGCCCATCTGACAGAAAGGCACTGTGCCTGGATAAACAGGTTCAACCTTATGGCTCAGGAATTATTGCCAAGGAAAAGGATTCTTCATATCTGCCATCTCGTGACACTGCTAATAAAAAATTCTCTCAACTTCCTTCTTATTTCAATGAAAGGAAAACTATATTCCATTGCAATTCTGCTTGAGTACCACAACCAGAGACAGGCATGCTTTGTTTGAGGGTTCTGATGCTCCTGTATTACTACCAGAACAGGGAGGCACCTACATGGCAGCAGCTTTGTTTTATCATGAGCTGTCACATAAGATACTGAGAAGGAAAAAAGGTCTAGAATCCAGTTCTGTATTTCTAGGAAGGGGTTCAGTATCTAAAAAAACACTCATTTCTGATACCTCAGACTTACATTTTTATTGCTTAGTTAAAAATACCCAGGGTAGGAAACTGTATAGAACACTTACATGCCTTTGGATTCCAAGAAACACTGTTGGTTCTATAAGGACTGAAATAATCAGGTCCAGCTGAAGAGACTCTTTGCTGACTGAGCAGAGCGCAGCAGTTCTGCAGCAGCTGTGTTAGCCCCAGCAATGCATTCTGCCACTAACAGAGACAGCCCAAAACACCACAATTGTCCGAAGTGCTAAAGGTTATTGAAATGACCTCCATTTGCTACAGTGTTCTCTCTTCAGTACAGAAATCACTAGGATCTGAGATTACTCGTTGTGCTGATATAACACTGTTATGTCAGATCTATTTCAGTGCAGCTGCTGTAGATGAGACAGGATATTTATTTAGAGCAGATACAGCACGTTTCTTTCATTTTTTTTTAGGTTATTGGAGATGTATCTTATTGTGGAGCATAAAATTAAAGGCTAAACCCTGCAAGATGTCAAGTATTTAGTGACTTCCATCCATAGGGGAACTGTGCCATACAGGATCATAAAAACATGATGTAGATGCAAATGCCAGAAGGTGCCAGTGCCACAGATTCATCAGTTAACTCTGTCTGGCTTAGAGGTTAAAGTGGGTAGGCTTGTAATTCAAAGGGAGGTTGTGTGCTCTGTAAAACTATTTTAAAATCCTCAAAGATAACACTGTCTCAGAAGCCAGGTACCAGAATGCAGATTCTGTTACATCTGCATAAGATTTGCATCTTGTTGGAAGGCTAACACTAATATATAAAATGCAATAATTAATATAAAAAGCCTCACAGTAAGTGTGCCCATTTGGAAGATGTAAACAGAGCACTCAACAATTAGTTATCTACTTTCTATGCTTAAACAAACAATAGGTTTGTTGGCGATGCATTTCACATCCAAGCACAAGCCAGCAGCATCCTCCCAAATCTCAGTTCTTCATTCCCTTCACCATCATTCCACAGGAATGAAAAATGCTAGACTGTGGAGAGCCAGGCTCACCGAGGTTGGAGAAAAGCCTTTCTGTATTTGAATGTATTGATCTGAACTCCTCTGACTGCGACGTTGTTCACTCTGTGTGCTGCTTTCACATCCTAAGGGTTTTACTTTTGATGACCTGATTAGGATTGCTCTGGCATTAAATAGATAAAAATCAGTTTTAGAACTGTTACCCCATTTCCACAGTTATGAGATTAAAAAGAAAATGGCATAATTTCGTAATAAACATAATGTAAGGCATTAATTTATTGCTAATTAAAATTAGATGCTTTTGTAGTGGTTTAGAAGACTGTGACTTAGAAAATTGGCCTTACAGAGAACAGTGCAGGATGTGGTTGGCTGTTTGTTGTTTTGGTTTTCACGCAAGTAGAAATTTAATGTTTTTGCTAAACTCCATTCCCAGGATATCAGAGGATACATGCATTTTGTAATTATTTTGAATTATTAGTTACTACATTTTACATGGACTTTCTGTACAGTGTTTAAC